ACCCCCAGATGGACTCCAAGATAAATACCTCCTGCCACCTAAATACCCCCACAGAAGTAACACTGATGATCGCCAGAACTGGATACAGAAAGCCTTGTCCTTAACTGGGGTGGGTGAAAGAATTGGATGTCACCAGGTGTGGTGGTACATGTGTATAATCCCAGCACTCAGGAGGCTAAGGCAGGAGGATCACCCCAAACTGGAGGCCAGCCCGGGCTACATAGTGAGTTCGAGGCTAGCCTGAACGACATAGTTAAGAACTTCTCTCGAAAAACCAGCAAAACAAAACACCAAAAAAAAGAAAAAGAAAGAAAGATCAAAATTTGACCACAAATCTCTCTTTTTTTTGGTAACTTAAATCTCCCCAGTCGATTGTACCATGGCAGAGTCGGGTGTCAGGAGCCCGTGGCTCCCAAACTGACGGGGGCATCAAACCCCAATGGATGCTGACGAACACAGTTTCAGGGAAATTAAAATGCAATGAAAAACATGGGAATGCGTTTAGCTGTACCATAGGGGAAACTGGAAAACCCAACCAAGGAATTAGGTTGGCTGGCTGGGCTCAAACTGGAACACACCGCCCCTTAGTCTGGGGCGTGGGCGAGCTGGGTGTAAAATGTTTGCATTCAAAACATCCTCAGGGAGGAAGTGTTCTGGCAAACGCCCCGTGCCCCTCCGATCTATTTTCCTGAGACTCTTGGCCACACTGGGCTCCTTCTGTCCCCTCTGCTAGCCCGGGAGCGCCCCAAAGGCCCTGCTCTGCATCCAGGCTCCTCCTCCCCTGTTCTGCTCCCTTGGCTGAGGGCAAAATATCACCTCTACAGAGGCCTTTCGAGAGGAGACACCCGAGCTGCTGTGCCTCGCTCCGCCTGTGCTCGTCTCCAGCTGCCCCCTGCAGCCCGCCAGGCTCTTCGGGAACCTTCCTGATCCCCCTCTGGCTCACCACACCACAAACCATCCCGCTGAGCCGGAGTAGCTGCCCCACCTCACACCTGGGGACACTTGAATCCCCAGTCAGTTCCAGGCTAAAGCCATGGCTGCTGCCCCCCCAGAAGGGCTAAGTAGGACAGTGGTTTCAGAACGAGGTCATGGATGCTCCTGTCCCACATGCTGGCCCCAGCCAAGGGCCACGCAGTCTGGGAGCAGCCTGGCTGGGCCTCCCAGCCCGCTGCACTCAATCCCCGCAGTGCTGAGGCTGCAGCAAGGGGCTGTGGGGATCGGAGCATGCAGGAGCCCGGTGTCCCCCCCAGGACAGAGAGCTGCCTCGCCCACCTGGCTCCACCCACCCTGGGCAGGTAGGCTATCACTGGTGTCGGTGTTGTAGGATGCAGAGCTATAGCCAGCTGGGTGCAGAGGTCCGGCCTGGGCACCCAGGAGAGGCAGCAGGGACCTGGGGACGGTGGCAGGGCAGTGGGTGGCAGCTGGCTCTTTGCCTGGGCATCTGGGGAGGAGGGTCAGGGAGTCAGCCCTCGCCCAGCCCGGCCCAGAGAACCTCAGTCAGACAAACAAGAGCAACACAGCGGGCCCTGTGCAGGCTGAGGTGGAGGCAGAGGTGGCAGCCGCTGGACCGGTGGGAGCCTGGAGGTTACAGCAGGAAGCCAGGCTGGGTGGCAGCCCAGCTCCACAGCTTCAAGGAAAAAGAAACTTGGCCCTTCTGCCCCACCCGGGCACCTCGCTGCAAACTCCACACCCATGCCTGGCCCGGCCCAAGGTCAGTGGGTCACCCAGACAGGGGATTCTGGCTCTGTCACCCGGAAGGGCAGCGTTCACTGTTGGGAGCCGTGGTCCCCAAGTTCTCGACGGTGGAGGACTGAGGTCTGTCCTCGTGGGTCCCGATGCGTCCACTGGGTGCCCAGCAGGGATGGCAGCTCCTGGACATGCTGCCACCCTCTTCTCCACATGTGCACCTGCCCTGTCCCCCAGGACTCCTCAAGGGAGAGAGAGAGGTACAGAGCCAGACAGAAAGTGTGTGGCAGACAGACACAGGGAGGCAGAGAAAGAAGGAGGAGAAGGGAAAGGCACCGAGGGCCCCAGAGCCGGGACAGGAGCCAGAGGACAGGAGGGGCGCAGGATCGCAGGGCAGCACAGGCAGCTCGCAGTGCCAGCCGGGACAGACACAGGTGTAGGCAGGCGGGGACTCACGGGAACCAGCAGTATGGACAGACGGACAGAGAGAGGCTGGGACTGCAGATGCCGAGACAGCTGGAGCCCAGGTGCAGGTGTCAGGCAGGGGCTGGGGGAGCCCTGGGGTGGGGCTGCCACCTCCTGTCCCCAGCCCCGAGCTGCTGCAGGCCCTGGCCCCTGGCCCCCCTCAAGCAAGTCACGCCCCGGCGGGTCAACCAAGGTGAACAAATCAGGGGTAAGGGACAGAGAGACGGTGGCCTCTCCGTGCAGGATGTGGGGCTAGCAGTGCTGTCAGGAGCTCACCTGGGTACATGTGCTCCATTCCACCCCGCACCGCATGGCAGAGACTGGGCCCCGGTGGCAGGGGCGTCCCCAGACGGCCCAAGCATGGTGGGGACCAGTGTGCAATTCTTTTCCGCTGGGGTGACCCAGCGCTTGGCCCCACACTGGCCCCGACCACGGCCCGAGACCACGTGGGGAGGAGCCGTGTTGCAGATGCCCGGCCCTCGCTGAGATGGCCAAGAGGGGCACCGCCTGACCCCGCGCCCCCGCCCCTCCTTGCTCCCCGCCCCACTCCTCCACCCTCAGAGCTCAGCACCCCTCCTGCACCTCCTTCCCGCTTGCATCTCACAGGACAGTTTTACAAACTGTTCCAATTTTGGGGTAGAGAATGAGGCCAAGAGACCCAAGGGGGGACAGCTTCGGTGACAACTGTCTCTGTTTCACCTTGAAATTCCTTGCTGGTCTGGGAAGGGGGTCCCAAGCCCAAGCTTGCAGGGCTGCCACTCTGCTGGGTGACAAGGAGAGGGGAAGGCTTCAGATGGCCCTGTGGGCACAGGCCCAGCCCGGCCTTCGGGAACAAGGAGGTCCTGGGGCAGTAGATGTATGTGGATATGGGACTCTTTTTTGGGGGTGCTACTGGGGGTTGAACCCAGGGCCTTTAAATTGAGCTATAGCCTCAGCCCTTTATTTATTCTTTTTTTTTTTTTGGTGCTGGGGATCGAACTCCAGTCGAAGAGAAACCACTGAGCTAAGTCCCCGGCCCACGGCTGTTCATTTCTAAAATATCGAGATAGGAGCCCAAGTTGCCCAGGCTGGGCTTGAACTTGCAAACCTCTGGCCCCGGCCTCCCAGGTGTGTGCCACCACACCTGGGCCTCTTTTTTGGGTCTCAATATTTTAAAGTTATAAATGAAGCTTAAAAAAAAGCAAAAGAAACACCGAACCACTGCCCACCACAGTACGCTCTCGCCTCCTGCCTACACAAACGCACCTTCCGAAGGACCCTGAGCATGGAGCGCCCGTTCAGGGTGCATCCAGGTGACACCGGGGGATAGAGAGACAGCTGCACGGTGCCACTAGCTGAGACCCCCATTTCGTACTGCCAGCGACAGGGACCCCCACGCAGCTCGAGGTTAACAGCCTTGCATCTGAGTTCCAGCCACCCCAGGCCATCTCTGGCCCTGGGCACACTGGTGACCCATGGGGGCTGTGGTCCTGGGAACAGCTCCTCCCTCTGCCCTGCCGACCCCTCCTGCGACAGGAGGTGGGAGGAGGAGAAGGCTCTGGGGAGGGCGGTGTGCAGGGCCCTGCCGGACTGAGCTGTCTTGTGCTGGGAGGCAGGCCTTTCAGTCACCGGTATTATTTATCTTCCTGGAAAAATTTTGTGCGGCTTGGTCCCAACGTGAGGATTTCTGGAGATGGGGAGGGCAGGGAGGTGACTCCCACAGGACATTTTTTTAGTTAGGTTTGAGCCAGAGCTTGTTCCAGGGAGGCAGAGCCCCAGGCGGGCTCTCAGTCCTGGCGCCCTGGCAGGGCCCTCCCCACCTGGGAGACAAAAGGGCGCCCTGAGCAGGAGGGAGCAGGGGTTGAGACCCCGGCACAGGCAGGGGGCAGGGGTGGTAATGAAGGGCACCAGCAGGCTCTCTGCCCAAGGTGTAACAATCCTTTTGCCCACCCCATCCCCTGCGGATGGGCTTCGGTGTCCTGCAGGAGGGGAGCAGGGGACGCTTAGACTCACTGAGCCCTGGCCAGGCGCCTGGCACCAGCTAAGCAAGCGCTCTCCACACTGAGTAATCCCCGCATCTAGTCGCTCCACTCCACAGGTGAGGCAGCGGCCCGGAGGCTGAGGGAGCTGCCCAGGTCACAGTGAGGAAGGTGACCGAGGCCCTCTCTCCCAGAAGCCTGATGTCCACACTGACGCCGGAGGGAGGGAAGGACACAAGGGAGGACTTCCTCACTGCGATGTGCGTCGGACAGCGATGGGAGCTGCCACCGGCTGTCCAAAGGCCGCGGAGACCTCTGGGGGCGCCCTGGGGTCCCCTCCCCCACTGCAATCGGGGCGCTCTGCTCTGCCCTGCTCTGCCCTGCTCTGCCCTGCCCCGAGCAAGGGTCCCAGGTCCCCGAGGTGCGGAGGCCGCCTGTCCCGTGGACCGGCCCTGCAAGCCCCTTATCCCAGCTTCAGCCCCCCGACCTCTGGCGCGCTCCGCCCCAGAGGGTGCACGTGCGCCCCGAGTCTGCAGCAGGCACATGGCCGGGATCGTGGCCACAGATCCCAGCCCGCGGGGTCCCCGGCCCTGGCCACACCTCCGTGCCCCGTGTGGTAAGCGGGGTGCAGGTATCGGGCCCTTAACCTAGCTGCCCGCGGAGCAGCAGCTTGGGCCACTCTCGGTCATCCCCTCGGTCCCCGGTCCTCGCGCCCCTCGGAGTCAGCCCAGAAGGTCCAGCCGGCACCTCTGGCCGCCTCAGATCTGGGTCGCACCCCGAGGATGCCCAACGTCCCCACGCGCGGCTGTCCCCAGTCTTAGGGGCCAGCGGGATGGGCGGCCCTTTCCTCCCGCCCCCGTCCTCCGGGGACAGCCCGTGTCGCCGCCTTACCTGCGGGGACAGGGGGACAGGCAGCAGCCACCTGGCTCGCCGGGCTCGGGCTCGGAGCACGGCGACAACGAGCAGGCGAGAGGGGCGTGGTCTGGGCGGGGCTTGCTCGGGGCGTGGCCTGTTGGGCGTGGCCCGGCCCTCCCCTCCAGAGCCGCGCCGAGCCACTTGCGGGGAGCGTCTGCTGCTCCGCGCCTGGATCGGGCGGGCCCGGGCGCTGAGGCGCTGAGGACCTCGAGACGTCTCCCAGGGCTGCTGGTCAGGAGCCCCGGAGCCCGCGGACAGCCAGGAAGTGCAGAGACGCCGCCTTCTCTCTCTCTCTCTCTCTCTCTCTCTCTCTCTCTCTCTCTCTCTCTCTCGCTCTCGCTCTCTCCCGCCCAGCAGGGGGTCTCCCACCTGCAGTCGCAGCACCCGAGGAGACTGAGGCAGGAGGATCGCAAGTTTGAACCCAGCCTGGACGACTCAGCCAGACTCTGTCCGAAAATAACAAAAGGGCTGGGATGTAGCTCAGTGCGAAGGCCCCGGTGCAGTCCTCAGCCCCAGTCAATTAATTAGTCGATCGAAGCAGGCTCCCCGTCCCGGAGTGAGCTGCGTGGGAGCTCAGGCCACGCGGGTAGCCGGCAGGGCCCGAGCCTCCCCCTCCCCGCACCAGCTGCGTCCCTCAGCTGTCGCCGTTTAGCCCTGGAATGCCAGGCGCCCGGACTCCGTGAGTCCAGCCACACTCAGGGCCAGGGAGCTTAGCGCCCGGCGCCCCCGCGCTCCCTCTTTTATTGACCTGTGAAAGGCACGGAGCAGCGGGCTGGAGCGGATGGGGCGAGGCGGACCGAGGCAGCGAGGTGACAGGAGAACCCCTGGGGCCAGGCCCCCGGAGAGGGAGAGGAAGCAGGGGACCGAGCCTCCTGGGGTGGGGTGGGTGGGTCTCCCCCCACAATCAGAAAAAGGAAACCACCACCCCAGCCGCCGAGGACCAAGCCAGAGTTAGGGGCCCAGGGACTCCCCCCCCCCCGTGGGTGAAGGTGACTCCTGCCTGCTGAGCCTCTCTCACTACAGAAATAGGCCTTTCCCTGAAGAATCAGCCTACATCTTGCCTCCTTCTCTCATTAAAATGAGACCAGAAATGTAGGCCTTTGTCATTCTCCTCACCCCGGCCCACCTGCACACCCCTCAGCTCTGGCTCTCCCTGCCTGTCCCCCAGGGAGGTGACCTTCGAGGGCCGGCTGGGGACACGGAGGCCTCTCGGCCTGGACAGCAACACAGACATCTGCGTTGGTTTTCAGAGCTGGGGCTCAGTTCCGGCCTCAGACAACAGGCAAAGGCTGTACCCCTGAGCTGACCTGGCCCCTCCAATCTAGACTCCTGCTTTTTCTCCAGGAGGCTGAAAGACACCCACCGCGGAGGCGCATTTTTACATCATTAAAGTCACTGCCATGTTGATCAGTGCCTGGGAAGGGTGACAATGGAGTTCAAAAAGAATACTTTCTGAGACAGGATGTCGCTATGTAGCCCAGGCTGGCTTTGAACTTGGTGTGATCCTCCTGACTCAGCCTCCCAAGTACTGTGATTATAGATGTGCTACACTTTATTTTTGGTACCGGGGATCGAACTCGGGTTCTTGTGCTTGCGCAGCAGGCAGTGAAACCACTGAGCTAAATCCCCAGCCCCTACCCTGCTTTTTTAGAAGAATACTCTTGTAAAAATGCTCTTGAGGGTGATGCCTATGCTCTTTATCATGTAGAGGAGCATACATGTTAAAACATATCCAACTGCACACTATAAATATGAGCCGTTTATTTTCTACCAACTATACCTCAACAAAATGTGGTTTAAAATATCACACACTGCCAGGCATGGTAGCACATGCCTGAAATCCCACCACTCGGGAGGCTGAGGCAGGAGAATCACTGTGGGTGAGGTCAGCCTGGGCTATATAGCAAGGACCTATCTCAAAAGCCAAACCCAAACAAAAAAACCTACATGGGCCGGATTTAGCTCAGTGGCACCACACCTGCCTCACAAGTGCAAGGTCCTGAGTTTGATTCTCACTACTCCCTCCAAAAAAAGCCCTAAACATTTTCTACCATTTTCCTATTTATTTTTAATTTTTGAGGAGCCTCAAGAAACAGAAGTGGCTCTGGCAGGGAGGATGTTGGGGCCCTCGTGCAGTAGTTGATCCTCCAGCCTGTATCCAGCTTCATCCAGTGTACGTGAAGAGCGCGTGTGTGTGTGTTATGTGTGCACACGCACTTCACTCCAGCTGCCTCGCTGTGGGGACCCTGAGCCAGCCCCGGTGCCCGGCTGCTCGGGGCTGGTGGCTCAGAAAGGAGCCAGCCTGGACCTACACTCCACCCAGGGGAAGTGGGCAGTGGACTTGGGCTCCGCTGCCCCCTGCAGGCCGAGCCGGGCACCACAGCAGCCCGCAGTCAGTCCAGGGAGAGGTCGGCCAGGTTCTGGGCACAGTGCTGCAGGAAGTCGAAGTCTTCCACCAGGAAGGGCACGCGGGACCACTTCTTGACCTGGATCCGGCCCTGCGGGGTCTCCAGGAGCAGGCTGCGGACCTTGAGCACTGGCAGGCTCGCCGACCTGTAGATCATCTGCAGTCCCCAGCTCTGGGTGGGGCACAGAGGACTTGAAGCCCTGGGCCCAGGGTGGGATTCTATGGACACCACACGTGCGCCTCCAGCCCACACGGCCCCCTGATGGGACTTCCATACCTCCCCGCAGTTGCGGCAGCTAATGGTGCCCCCCGGCTTCCAGTCCTTGAAGACTCTGTCAATGACCACGTGCTCCCGGGACACAGTGTAGTAGATCCTGGAGGAGAACAGGGCAGCCACAGCCCATGTGGACCCTGTCCCCAGACCCTGCACCCTGGAGCTGGCAGAGCCTCCCCTTGCTGCCCATCAAGGGGCACGGTGGTCCCAGGGCCAAGACCAACCCAGCCCCCACCAGGTCTCCCGTGGGGTTCCTGCCTCCACCTGACACCTGGCCTCGAGCCTTCCCTCTTCCGCTCCCGGGTCTCAGAGGGAATCCAGGACTGTGATCACCTCCCGGTAAAGGGGGCACGTTCAGGCCAATCGGCCTGCTGTCTGCTCTGACTGAATCTCTCCTGTCCCTTCCACCCAGGCGGAGGGGCACATCCCATCGCTCTTGCCTGTGTCATCTTCTACCCATCTTCCCACAGCCAAATACTGCCCCTCACATGGGAAAGTGGGTAAAGACCCTTGGCACAGCAGCCTGACATGCTGCAGGTGCCTAACAAGTGCTCCCTGCTGAATGGGAGGAGACTGGGGGAAGATTACCCTCTAGGGGTGACAGGTGGCACAGCTTTTAGAGACAGTCTTGCTGTATTGCCCAGGCTGGCCTTGAACTCCCGGGCTCAAGCCACCCTCCTCCCTCAGCCTCCCACAAAGCTGGGACAGTAAGTGTGCGCCACTGTGCCAGGCAGCCAGCCTCTCTTTTCTTTTCTTTTTTTTTCCAGACCAGGGATCAAACTCAGGACCTTGTGCTTTTGAGGCAGGCGGTGGCACCACTGAGCTACATCCTGGGCCCAGGCAGCCTCTCTCGACGTGCTCAGAGAAGGCAGGACAGGAACAGTGTGTGGCCCCTGGGCATGACACCCAAGCCCTAGTCCATGCTGCAGGACACAGTGGCTCTGAAGTGGGGCAGGTCACCCAGCCTCTCCACCCCCCCCCACTTGTCAAACTGCGTCACCAGATGCTGCTTGTCTACCTCTCTAACCCCTCAAACCCTCCAAGCACTGCTGCCACCCGCTCTGCTCTCCCGACAGCCCCCTCCGCAGCTCACGAGAAGCTGGGGTTCACATTGACGTGGTGGGTGCCCTCCACCCTCCGCAGGTCGCTGCCGTGGCCCACGGGCACCATGCAGTTGATGCACAGGAGCCTCACGTGCTCTGCGGGGAATTGTCGCCGCTGGCTGTCCCTCTGTGAGGTGCGGGCCGCACGCTTGACTACCGCTTCCTGCTGCAGATCCCGGATCTGGGGCCGAGGAGGGGGAGCAGTCAGAGCTCCAGGAGCCCCCCGGGCTGCATCCTCACCCAACACCGACCTTGGCCTGGTACTCAGCCGGGTCCATCTTCTGCACGGCGGCCACCGCCTGCTCCATCAGGGCCTCCAGAGCCTCATTGGTCAGCTCCCGCCGCAGCTCCCGGCTGCCCTCCGTGGCCACAAACGAGTACACGCTCTGGCTGGCACGGGCTCGGCCGCGAGCCTGGGGAGCAGGACAAGTGGGGCTCTGAGTGGGGCTGGGGCACCGGATTCCTAACGGCTGGGGGACTGGAGGGTTGAGCACCTGGACCATGGAGATCTCGTTGGTCAGAAGCCCGTAGCGTACCACTACACTGCACTTTGCGATGTCCAGCCCCTCCTCAGCCACACTGGTGGCCACCAGGAGGTTCAGGGTGCCAACTCGGAACTTCCGGATCACTTCCTGCTGGTCCCTCTGTGGGGAACAGGCAGGACAGAGGCAGACCCTGCCCTCGGCCTGGGCACATCCCAGCCCCCCTGGGTGTCCATGCATGTGCCCTTGGCCCCCAGGGTTCACACCTGTGTCATGTGGGTGCACTGGCTGCTGTTCCCGGCCCCAATCAGCATCTGGGCCCTGATGTCCATGCCCCGCAGGCCTGGCTGCTGCTGGAGCCAGAGCAGGAGGGAGTGGGCGCTCTGGCGGGTGCGGGTGAAGACAATGCCCCGGGGGTTGGCTGAGCCCCCAAACTGCGTCTGCAGGATCTGCTCCAGCATGTCCAGTTTGGGGTTCTCGGGGCCGTGCGTTGCTAAGCGGGTCAGCTCGTCCTTATGGTCTGCGAGAGCCCAGAGGCTGACTGAGCCCGCAGCCCTTCTTAAAAGCTGTTTTTTGGGGGGGGGTTTGGTTTTTTGGTTTTATGAGACAGGGTCTCCCTTTGTAGTTCAGGTGGCCTTGAACTGCCTTGCAAGTGCAAAGTCCCAAGTTTGATCCCCGGTACCACCCAACCCCCCAAAAAATGTTTTTTGGGTTTTTTTGTTTTTTGAAACAGGGTCTCACTGTATAGTTTAGGCTGGCCTTGAACTCACTACGTAGCCCAGGCTGGCCTGGAACTCACCACAATCCTCCTGCCTCAGCCTTCTAAGTGCTGGGATTACAGGTGTGTGCCACCATGCACAGCCCCATTTTTGGATCTTTAAGGACCATTCCAATTAAACAGTTTTAAAAATATCTGTCAATAAGTGAATTCGTATTCACAACTATGCTAACCTTCACAAAGGAGGAAATGAACTTGTCATATCCACAGCTGCTCTGGGTTAGAAAAAAGAGTGTTTCCCATGGGCCCCTTCCCAGACTTCTCACCATAGAACAGGGCCAGCAGCCAGTGCTCGGTGGGCAGGATCTGGGTTTTGGTGGTGCGCTCCCGGTCGTAGAAGCCCCGCAGCGAGGCCAGGGCGTCCACAGCGCGCACGGTGTCGTGGATGAGCAGCGCATCATTGTAGCGGCGCAGGTGGAGCGCGAGCACGCGCCGCTGCTGGAGTCCGCCCTCTGCGGCTGTGGGTGGGGCAACGGGAGGCTTCGACCACAGGTACCTCCTGCTGGGCCCCACCCCTGAGCCACCAAGCCCCGCCCAGTGGTCAGGCCCCGCCCCTGGCGGCCAGGCGCCACCCCCCCACCTGTCTGGCACAGTTCCACCACGTGCTGCTCATACATCTGTGTCCCAAAGTCTCGGCTCAAGTCTGGCATCTCCGGGCAGTCGTGGATCTGAGCCATAAGCTTCTTTATCAAGTCCCCAAAGGGGTCCTGGCGAGAGGAGCGCGGGTGAGGAGGGAGGCCTGGCTGGAGGAGTGGCAGGTCCGAACCGGCTCCTGGTTCGCCCCTCATGCGTCCTCCCCGCCCGGCGCTTCCCATGGGACATCGGCCAGGGCTCCTCCTGACGGACACAACAGTGTCCCAGCTCGCGCCAGGGCCATCCTGTGTCCACAGCGCCCCCTGGGTAAGCCCGGGCAGCCGTGAGCCCAGCCGAGCCGCGCCCCTGGCGCAGAAAGGAAACACAAGCCAGCAGGAGTGGAGCTGGGGAGGCGCGGGCGGGACAGCTCCCCGCCCGCCCAGCCCGAGCACCTGGCTGCGCCTCTGGCACAGGTCGTACTTCTTGCAGGGCTGGGGACGGTGCTCCAGCAGCTGGGGGCGGTAGGTCTCGGGAGACATGATGCGCCACGTGTCCAGGTTGGCACAGAGCTGCGGGGAGCAGGGAGGGCTTCGCTGGGATGGGAGGCCTCTGGGGCCAGCGGGCAGGACTTTGAGGTGGGAGGGTCGCAGCGGAAGATTGCAGAGCCCGAAGCAGGGCCACGGGGCAGGGGCAGGGGCAGGGTTAGGGTAACTGGGCGGGACCCTGTCTCAAAATAGAAAGGGCTGGGGATGTAGCTCAGCGCAGAGGCCCTCAGTTCAGTACCGCAAAAATAAATGGGTGAAACTGGCTGAGAGGGCGGCGTGCTCAAGACGAGCGCTGGGGGAGTGAGGGCCCGGCCCGGAAAGGAGGCCGGCCAGCCCCTTCAGTTGCGGAAGGGCTGGGAAGGGCTGGGAAGGCCGGGCAAGCGGGCGGGAGGTCCCAGGGCCCCGCGCACCTGCAGGATGTGCTCGATGGCGCCCTGAAGCTTGGAGTTCCCGCCAGTGCCTGGGGAGGCCGTGAGACCCAGCACCTGAGGCAGGGGCCACTGCTGGCGCAGCTTGTGTTCCAGGTACTGGCTCAGGATGACGTTGTAGACGGTGTCCTTGTGCGTGTGGTGACATTCGTCCACCACGATGAGGGAGAAGGCTGCGGCCGCAGGGAGAGGCAGAGATGCCTGCGTGGGCCCTTCCTCCCCTTTGCTCTGCTGTCCATGGTCCTACCCATCCCAGACCCCCACCGCCCGGACAAGGGGTCGGGCGACGATCTGTGGCCAACTTACAGAGGAGTAGACAGCCTCGCTTCGGGAAGGGGCCTGCCCAGGATCTCTCCAGCGCTCTGCCCAGCCCCGCACGCCCCAGCTGGAGCAGGCCCAGGTGTGCACCCTCGCTGCCCACAGCCTCACCTGTGAGCTCCACGTGCTCCTCCTCCTGTGTGCTGCTCAATGCCATCTGCAGCAGCTCAGCTGTGCAGATGAGCAGGTCGTGGCTCCGGGCCACGTGGCCGAAGCCAGCCCGCGCCCCCATGTCCCCGCTCAGGGTGGTCATGGCCCAGCGTCCACCCAGCATGAGGCTGAACTCCTCGGCGTGCTGGGTCACCAGGTGCACCTGTGGGTGCAGACAAGGTGGGGAGAGGACGCTGGACTGGGGGGCGCGGTACAGGAAGGGGTGAGGGGACTCCCACATCCTGGCAGGTCCTGGACCCGGGCACAGTCAGTGAGTGTCAGGGCCACGCAGCTGTGGCACCCTGGAGGGAACCAAGGTGCCGAGGGCTGGGCCACTTACCCTGTTGACCAGCACCACCACCTTGGCTCTGTCCACTGTCTCCAGGTGCCTCTTGGCCACATAGGCGGCCGCCCGGGTCTTTCCGGTGCCCGTGGGCAGCCAGATGATGACGTTCCTCCCCTCCAGGGCAGGCATGATCACCTCCCACTGGTAGGGCCGCAGCTCCATGCTGACAGGCAGTGCGCAGACCCTCAGCCCAGCCCCTGAAACCTCCCTCACCTGGACTCAGCCACCCGAGGGAGCCGGCGGGGTGCTCAGGACACGCCTGGAACCTGCCAGTCGGGAGCGGGGACAGGAGCAACACTGCTCGCAGACTCTGCAGACTCCCTTGGCCCAGGGCTCTGGAAAGCCCCACCAGTCCCATTGGTGCTGAGAAAAGGAAAGTGAAACCGAGGGGAGGAGCCACAGCCTAGGAGCCGGACTCCACTCTGCCAGGGCTGCAGTGCAGGGATCACCCAGCCTGCAGCCTGGAAAAGGGAAGCAAAACCAAGCGTGAGGGGTGGAGCTCGAGCTGCTCCCAGACCTTCGGAGGAGGCCAGAGCTGCTTCTACCAGTCAGGCGCAGGGCCTGACCCCACCACCCCCGGCCTCTGGACAAGGAGCAGCCTGGAGCGGGGCAACAGGGACCAAAGCCCCACAGGTGCCACTGGCCCAGGAGGGGGAACTGGCACTGGTGTGCAGGGGCTGGGGCAGCGAGACAGAATCAATCACACAGGGGTAAAAACCACAGCGCTTTATTGTTTCCTCAAGGGATTAATGCCAGGCAATGAGTGGTCCCCACGCCCGCCCCGGGGGCAGACCGCAGGGCAGCAGGGCCAACCATAGCCCTCCAACTGGGCTCAGCTGGGACCCCAAGGTCACTCGCTGAAACAAGGCGCAGTCATGGCCCTCAGGGCCAGAGCCACTGGACCAGGACCAGGAGCCAAGGCTTGCGGCCAGGGAACCAGGGCCAGGCCCAGGGCCGAGCATAGTTCATCCTCTAGCAGAGGGTCTGGGGCTGGGGAGGCTGAGCGCCCAAGGGTCCGAGGGCTACTTGTCGATGAGCCCGCCCTCCTTGAGCTTGAAGTAGAAGAACTTCTCCAGCGCACTGGCGCAGCGGCAGTACTCGCTGTCCGGCGGGTTGTACTCGCGGCAGTTGGCGATGACCCGCTGCAGGTCGGCCACGAAGAGCTTGCGGGTCACGTAATAGCGGCTGCGCAGCCGGTCCGTCATGGTCTTCAGGTCGATGGGGAAGCGGATGACCTCGTAGTAGTCGGGGGCCTCCGACTTCTTCACCGGCTCCATGAAGGGCCAGGCGCTGGGGTGCGACTGGAGAGAGCCAGGCTGGGACCCGCTGTGTCCTGCCCTGCCCTAGCCCACCCAGCCCGGTGCTGCCCCCCCAACGTGGACAGAAAGGCTCCGCCCCGGCAGGGCTGCGTCTCCCCACCTTGATCTGGGCCAGCAGGTTCTTGAGGGTCGTGTACAGCTGGTCGGGGTCCTTGAGCTCCTTGCTGGGGTGAGAAGTGGGGTCTCAGGCTCTGTGCACCCCAGCCCCCACCCGCCCCACGCCATGCACTCACCCCTTCTCCTTCCCCAGTGGCTTCCAGCCCGTCTCTCCTGCAGCGGGAGGGAGAGAGCGTCCCTGAGCCCACCTGCAGTCTACACCGGAGGCAGGTGCACAAGGTGCCCCCCCGCCCCCGACCCTGCTCACGGATGCCGGGCACGCTCTCCACGGGGATCTGCCGCACACCCTCCTTGAAGCAGCTGAGCCCAGGGTAGACCTTGCGGATCTGGGCCTGTTTGCGCTCAATCAGCTTCTTGATGATCTGAGGGTGGGGGGGATGAGACCCGGTTCCCACTGTCCTCCGATGTCCCCTGCGGGGAGGGCACGGAGCACACACGCATGCACGCACACCTCTTTCTGCTTCTTGATGATGTGTGACAGCTCTGTGTACGGGATTCGGGGGTTCAGCTCGCACTCCATCAGCGTCGCCCCCTCGTAGTCCTTGATGTAGCCTAGGTAGCGGCTCTTGGGGACCTTGATGTCCTTGGAGAAGCCCTGGGGTATGCGGCGAGGACCCCATCCTTCAGCACGCGCTCCCCAACTCTGGTGGCCTGAGCCCCCCACCTCATGGGGCCACTGGATCTGTCCCCAACCAGGGGACTTCCCCGCAGATGCCAGCAGGAGCAGGGATGCCGAGGGACAGCAGGTGGGGCCGGGTCACCTGCTTCTTGAAGTAGCCGATGGCGTACTCGTCGGCGTAGGTGAGGAAGTAGAGGATGCCGTGCTTGATGTGGTACTCCTTCAGGTGGTTCATCAGGTGGGTGCCGTAGCCCTGTTGGGATGGGGCAGGGTCAGCCTGGGAGGCACCTCCTGTGACGAAGGTCAGCTCCTCACCACAGCGGAGGCACCGCGATGGAAACAGAGGCTCCGTAACAGTGCTGCTGGCTGGGGGCGCAGCTTGGAGGCAGCCCAGCACCAAAGGGAAAACAAGAACGAAGGAAAAGCAAAGTTGCTGACTCTCAGGCACCATTTTCCAACACTCCCTTGTGTGTGGTCCTGAGGACTGAACACAGGGCCTCTGCACTGAGCTGCATCCCCAGCCCTTTCAGTTTTTTTTCTTTAGGTACCGAGGATAGAACTCGGGTCCTCGCAATTGCGAGGCAGGCGCAGGAACCACTGAGCTAAATCCCCGCACCCCAGCCCTTTCATTTGTTCTGAGACAGGGTCTCACTAAGTTGCTAGTTGCCCAGGCTGCGCTCCAACTTGAGATCCTCCTGGCTCAGCCTCCCACAGTGCTGGGATTATAAGCACCTGGCCACAACAGATGATTCCCAAATGCACAGTTCCTAAGGGCCAGCTACCCCTGCTGGGGCCATGAAGAAAAAACTCTGTCACCGAAGGAAGGGCCAAGGTCCCACTGGCCCTGCATGCGGCGGAGGGCACAGCCTGTGCTCACCTTGACCTGCTCATTGGAGGTGACAGCGCAGAACACGATTTCGGTGAAGCCCTGGGTGGGGAACATACGGAAGCAGATGCCGCCGATGACGCGCCCGTCCTTGATCAGGGCCAGCGTCTTGTGCTTCCTAGAAGACAGGGGTGCATCATGGCCGTGCCTGTCCCTGCTCCCCAGACCCCAAGGCCCGAGGGCCGGCTGTGGTCAGGGCCGGCAGGGAGGGGGGAGCGGGCCTGGCTGGGAAGGGGTCAGATGCTGTCCCCAGGCAAGGCGGACGGGCCGGGACGCACGGGTCGAAAACGAGGCGGGCGATGTACTCCTTGGGCATGCGCGGCAGCTGGTGCGAGAAGACGTTCTGCAGCCCCACCAACCAGAGCAGCACCCGCCGGTTGGCCTTGGGTGCGAGCGAGTTGCCGATGACGTGGAACTCGATGATGCCACGCCGCTCCTCCAGGCGGGCGGTCTCGTCGCGCGCGGCATTGGCCGACAGCAAGCTGGTCTGGGGGCAGGGAGGGTGGTGAGTGGGGGCAGGGAGGGTGGTGAGTGGGGGCAGGGGGGCCCCGCCCCCGTGGTCCGCAGGCCCCACGCCCACCTCGGGGCCCAGCATGGCGGCGGGGTCGGTGATGGTCAGCATGACCTCGTTGACCAGCTCCATGGGGATGTCGCCCATCACGCGCAGCCGCTTGGCATCCTCCAGGGTCAGGTTCTCGGGCAGCTTCCTCTTTTCGCCTGCGGGAGGGTAGGGAGGTCACTGCCCACAGTCAAAGAAGCTGAGCTTAAGGTGAGAGGTCAGAGATCTGGGGTCAGGTCCCCACCTGGCATGGGCTCCGCCCCCGTGGCATCCAGACTCAGGGAGCTGTTGCTGCCGCCTCCCATGCTGGAGCTGAAGATCGGGGTGCTGGGAACCACCGCGGCACTGACCGTGGCTGTGGGAAAGAGAGCATCAGGGACAGGGACAGGAAGGTGATCCAGGCCCTCCCGGCCCCGGCCAAACCCCCAGAGCCTGCAGTGCCACTTACCTGGCCGGGGCACCAGCTGCGCCCCCTCCGAGGGTGGCATGGTGAAGCCCGACTCCCAGATGGGAGAGTTGGCCCCATAGATCTCCTCCTCGAGCATGGACAGGAACCTGGGGGCAGCACAGACAGCCCTGCCACTCCGTCCTGCAGCCTCAGGGGACCCGAGGGCCACCCACTGGAGCCCACTCTTGGGGCTGGGAAGCCGGGACAAGACAAGGTGCTGCCCTGGCGAAGCCCTGGCCCTGTGCCTTCTCTACTTGGAGGTGAGAAGCAGGGCTGGCCCAGGACGAGCAGGGCACGGGGAGTCTGGCTCTGAGCACAAGCCACTGGTGCTGTGGCCAGGCACCCCTGGGTGGGAATGGTGTCACTGCCAGTGTGAGCTCTGGCTTTTTGGGGTGCTAGAACAGGGACAGCCTCGAGGACATGAAGCAGGGCTGGCGGAGTCCCAGCAGGCCAGAGGGAGCCTTACTTGGGGAAGTGGGTGAGGATGAGCGTCCTCTTCTCAGGCACCAGCTTGTCCTTCTCCACTCGGAACTTTTCCAGCAGCTGCCGGCGAGTCACAGTGAAAATGGACCGCAGCAGGCTGCGCCCGAATACATGGGTGGTCTCGTAGCGAGGGAGGCTGTCACAGCTTTGGGGCACGTGGCAGTAACAGAGCCACCTGGGGGCAGGGGCGGCAGGTGAGGGGAGAGCTTCAAAGCCAGGGTGGGCTGGAGGCCTCGGGGCGAGCTGGGCCCACCTGGTGTAGTTGACCTTGTAGGTGGCCACGTCCTCGGACTGGGACCTCTGCCGGAACTGAGCAGGCGTCTCCAGCTTCCAGTAGTTGAGACAGAGCAGAAACATCTTAGAGAGCTCAAACATAGTCTGCCGCTCCCGGGGTGCCAGGTGACTGAACTTGTACTGCACAAAGTTAAGCACACCCTGGGGAGGGGACAAACCGGAAGGAGGCCAAGTGAGCGACCAGGAGGAGGTGGGCACAGAGCACGCCCTTCTCTAACACGAGCTCCCCACTGCTCCAAGCCTTCCCCAGGCTCCCCTTCCCTGTCCCACCTGCTCAATGTTAGGCTTCTCGAATGGGGGGCTGCCCAGGGACCCTTCCACCACGGGCCGGGTCATCTGCAAGATGCATTTCCGCAGGAGCTGGAGGACAGGGGCAGCAGAGCTCAGAGCTCCAGAACCGCCCAACGTGACACAATGCACCCCCTCCCCTCCCGGGAAGCTCACCTTGAAGAGGTAGAAATACACCTGCTTGGTGTCCGTATCCTCCTCCTTGTGCACCGACATGAACAGGTTCTCCACGTCCACCACCATGCCCAGCAGCCGGTTGATCTCGTCCTCCGACACGTTCTCCAGGTGAGACACGTGGTCAGCTGCCACGGGGACAGGTGGGGACAGGTGCAGGGTTGGGAAGGCTGGAGAGGCCTCCAAAGGGCTGCCCGCACCCGCGACTGTCTGGATTTCCTGGGAGCCCCAGCCCTGGCCGTGCCTACCCAGGGGGTGCTCGCAGCTGCGGCACAGCTCGCCCAGGTTAGCAGCTGGCTGCTGCAGGTCCATGCGGGGCGCGGTGGGCGGCTTGGGGTTCTTCCAGCCATTGCACTTGCAGGTCTCGTTGGCCTGGGGGCGGGTGGGGGCGTCAAGGCCGTGCACCCCAGCCAGGCGTCTGCTCCCCGCGCCCGCCCAACCCCCGCGCCCACCTTGCAGGCCGAGAAGACGCCCAGCTTCTCCAGCTTCTTCGCGCGAGGCAGGCCGCGGACCTGCGCCTTGCGCTGGCTGGCGCGCTGCTGCTGGCTGAGCCCGGGCCGCGCGGGG